ATGCTATTTCTAATCATTCTATGTTAAGATGTCTTAAGAGTCTGTTGTTGTTTACATTTAATATTATTTGTCACTAAGGACTTGTGTGTTGTATTCGGGGTGAAGGATTGTGGCAGCATCCATTAATATACGTCCTTACGGGCGTTAATATTACACAAAACACGCATCTTTAGGCCTCTCGTGCCTTGCTCTTTTTTCTGTGAGATAAGGGAATTAAAGACTCAGACAATAATTAAAATGACGATTTGAACAACAGGATATGACTTACGTTGTTTACATTCGGTGGTCATCATGCAAGAACAAGATTGCGTCCACTGTGCCAGGTTTCAGTGAAGTTCCCCGCTTATTTATCGTGCGGCTAGCTGCACAGATCTTGCTAACCTGTTTTGTACACGAGTTTGTTCTCCACCAGCCAAACAAATCTCGGTCATCATCCGTGGCATGCCTTTGACTGATGTACAGACTGATTTCATCTCGAACAGGAGCATCATTGTCATCATCCGCGTTTTCCCACTCAGCGAAATAGGAAATTTTTCGCTTTGCTGCAGGTGGAGAAAGGGTGCTGGTGGTGTCGTCCTCCTCGTTTTCAACAGTTGTAGGCCTAGGATTGGCTTCTCCTCCATCTTGTACATGCACTTCTGACACCTCTGTCGGTGTCATAATTTTGAGTTTGTTGAAGGTAGGCCACAGGTACCGTGCAACTTTGTACATATGTTTTTTTTTTTAATTTTTGATCCAAAAATTCAGAATGCCTTCGGCGCACAAACGCCTGCTGAAGATTATCCGTAGAACTGGGTTGGCAGCGCTTTCTTAACTTCTCATTCCAGAGGCAAACTAGATTCAGTGTGGTATATTTATCTCTTTCCAGCTCCCGTTGTGCTGCTCTAGAAAGGAGATCAGAAAATCCAACATATCTGTTACAATGTTGTCCATGCGCCCCCCCCCCCTCTCCGCGTGAATATCTCGTGCACAGACTTGAGTGTCAAATAGAAGGTGCTGAATCTGGTTTCGCATATCTGAAGCACTGTTTTTGATAGTTGTGCTGCCAAACCAGTTTGCTTGATGAAACGGACAACACTCAGTAATGGTTTCTCCAATGTCTGGGACGTTTTCAGACAGTGGCAGTGCGTCGTTGTCCAGCCCATGGCGAAGGACAGTGTTGATAACATGGTCAATGCACGGGATGCGCTTGTATGGCTACAAAGCTTTCACGATGTTACTGCCCTGATCTGTAACCCACTCTATTCTGGATAAAGATGAATGTTCCAAACCAAATGCTTACTTTACACGCGTAAATAAGGGTTGTATGCCGCACGTTCATGTGTTTTAGGCCAGTATGGTCTTGTGTATACATCCCGTCTTCAATGTTGATATTTACTAACTCCTGTGTTTTTGCTTTTACGAGACGAATAAACATACATACATACAATTAACAAGCTCCTTTTTACATTAGCCTTCTCGGTGCACGCGTTTGACACTGTGGTGTGGTGGGGCAGGACCGATTCGACAGGCACGCGGCTAAAAGTTGACCCAACATTGATAAGTTCACGGGCCAGACTTTTGAAACCTCCGCCACTAACTACTGAAAATGGTCTGAGGCCTTGACAGCAAAAATCCACACACTTGTCTGTTATGGCCTGCTTAGCGCGAAGAGGGACGGTCTTTGGGGCAAATGATAATGTATAGAATAGATGATTGGCGATTATGACTTTTGCCAGTACAGGTTTTTAAATGCCTGCTCAGCGTCGACGTGCCAGTCTTTTTGCAACCGCATGCAAACAATATGACACTCAGCTAAGCCTACGCAAGTTTCTGTAGCATTTTCAACAATCAGTTTGAATGTTTTCTACACCTCACTCTTACCGGTTTGTGTTTACCTTTTCAGTTCCCGTCTTTAGTTTATCCTTCACTTCTTCTGCTCTATACCAGGTCAAAATCTTGCGGAGGGGAAGAATATTAAGACATATGTGTTTACCTTTTCAGTTCCCGTCTTTAGTTTATCCTTCACTTCTTCTGCTCCATACCAGGTCAAAATCTTGCGGACTTACGGGGGGTGGTCGTAAACATTACCTCGTTTTCGCGTTTTTGAACTCTATTCGTTAGTTTTCAGTTGTGCTTTGAAAATATAAATCAAGAGAATTCAAATATCACTTTGTCTTCCTATGGGGTTTTAATTTAACTGAAGTAAAAATTGCTGTGATAGACTAGGCTAAAATTCTTTACCGGTACACTACTTTTAAAAAACAGATTGTTGTATGCGATGAATTATGATGATGGTTTGAAATGAATACCCAATTTAACTCGAAACCACTCTTAAAATAAAATAAGCACAGAAAATTTTGCAATGGTAAAATATAGGAAGAATATTTTCGGCGGTCAAAGGTCCATTACAGCTTCCTCTCTTGTTTTGTTCAAATTATTTCTTTTATAACAGGTAGTTAACTTAGATTAGTATCCGCCAATAGTTTTGGTATATATTTTTTATAAACATATATTTATTTTAAAAAAAGTCAGCGATAGATAAGCCCGACCCAAAGGTAATGATTGACAAATCAGACCCGACCGCCAGGGATGCCCATTTCCGAATACTAAACTATTCCGAATACATTCTAAAATAATGTTTTCGAATCTGGAATTTCGAATACATTCTAAAATCGAAAATAACACACTTTTGTTTTAGTTTATTAAAACCCAGTAAATTAGGAAATGAGCTTCAATAGAAATATCAGAATAAAGCCACAAACCAACAGTATATGTACACGAAGTAACTGATAGTTTATAGCTATCAATAAAAAATAATAGCAACTTGTGACACAGTCACTTTATTAAAATTATTCACTTTGTACAAATGACCGTATGAAGAGATAGCCAAGGAGTTGTCTGACGCTTTCTATCATTGGCACCATGATATCACAATAATAGTCAAGTCTATTGACAAAAATACTACTTGTATTCAGATAATTGTGTATATTTTCTGAGAGTAATAAAATTTATTGGCAATACAAACAACTGAAACAAGCAACAACAATTGAAAATCCATTATGCCTTTAAAAATTCTAATATTTAAGCCTAGAGTATTCTACTACCTTCCAGTATATTTGTATATTAATTTATGTTAATCATATTGTTATTATGTGTAGCATATTGTTGTGTCTGAAATTAGAAATAAATTAGTAGAGGATAGATGACCACCACTGCCAGCTGCGCAGCCAGGATTTTCGAAATCGGAAATTCCCATTGCCGCTCGTAATACCCACCGCGATTCCGCGCTCGTCAATTAAAAGAGCCGTCTTTCCAGCGTATAATGAACATTCTGTTACGTAAAATATTCAATCCATGACAACTATGAGATTCTAAAATATCTTTACATATTAATTTAATGTGTCCAACGTAACTCGCCGTTGCTTCTTTTTATGTCAAAAAAAAACATTACTCTTCGGTCCACGGCGATCTGTGACCTAAAAGTACGAGATAAACTGCCTGATGTATTTAATTTTAATACGTATATTTGCAATCTTGCCAACTCGTTATCGCCGTTAGAAAAATCTTAAATAATGATATAAAATCCTGTTAAGTGTAGAGTATAATTCATTTCATACAATGAATATACATATAAAGTTTAGCAGTAAATTAAAAATACATATTCATCGCCGCGATTATGCCACCTGTTGAAAGAGTCGACTTTTACAACAAATAATATAACAACGAATACATATTTTTCTGTTGTGCAAAGTGATGAACTCGTGACCGATACGGGCATATTTGAGAAGTCTTGCTTTATTACTTTAATTGTCTTCAATTTAATCTGCGGTTGCGTCGACAAAATAAAATCCCTCACCACACTTATATATACCATTGCAATCCACGGTCATAAAAATAAAAACGTGTGGTACGCTGCTAAATTGATCGAATATACTTTAGAGTAATTATATACATCCTCACAACCCGGGGAAAAGCCGCGTTTCAAACCTTGTATCATGTTAACACGAAAATATTCGACGGCAATTTAAAGTAATGGATAATCAGGCAAATCCCGCCCTCAATTCGTGACGATATGTTTCTAAACGCTGACCAAACATAATGTGTGCCAGAGGCACACGAAATTTTGCAATTTCCACTGCCTAGAAAAGCGTTTTTTTAATTTTCGCGGGCCTCAATAAAACCTATATTGTTTTCGGTTTTATTTTCAGTATTTTAAATTACCGCTTTTCAATCAAAAAGTTGCGTTGTCTTTAGAAACTCGCCGTCGATGAACGTATTTACCAGATTCACAATTCCGTGCGTGTACAAAAATAAAATAATTGTCATCGTTATCGTGGAACAAATTTGTGGAAAATTTTCGTTTTAGAGAAAATAACACAAGCGTAAAGGCGTTTACGGCCTAAATAACACATCACGTCGATGAATGATGAAAACAATCACGCGCAAGTTTCTATCGAGAATGTTTTCATTTAACGGAAACGTCTTGAAGGCGGCGTCGAAAATGTGTGACGTCACACAAATATCCGATATTCTTATGAACGCTAATTCCGATATTCGAATACTTTATTCGAATTGGCCATCCCTGCCGACCGCAACGATTGACATTTCAGGCCCGACCCAAACGTAATGGTTGACAATTCAGGCTCGACCCAAACGCAATGATTGACATTTCAGGCCCGACCCGAAATTTCAGGTCGGGCTCCATATTTTAGCTCTACTGTATATACATACACAAGGTCAATATTGCTTAAAATAGGTTAACTTATGTCATCACTAGATATTTTTATGAGATGATTACCACGGCTCACAAAATCGAATTATCTGGTTGCAGTTTGGAGAAAGAAAATTTGGTATTAATGAACACAATTCTGTTAGCATGGTACCCTTACAAATATGGAGATTATTTGAACCAAGCTACATCTGGGAAAAGTTTATATTCATATTTATGCAAAAATATGAAATAAAATATTATATTCTAGATCCTTTGTCCCTTGAATAGACAAAAAACAACATAGCTATTGTCAGAGTTAAAGAAATATATTTTGCTGACATGTGAAGATAATACAAAGCTTACTTTTAAGATGAACTATACAAAAATCTATTGTAGTCCAGACCATCGATCAGTCTTTGTATTAAATAGAACTATTGGAGAAATAAAATGACAGGAATTGCTTGTTTTTCTTCATTCTGTACCCCAGTGCAACCAACCATGTCAGGATGATTTTTGCTTAAGAGGCAAAAACTGACTGATGATATGTGGAATAACAATAATGTTTTTCACATTGTCCTTGGATGATGGGGTAATCAAACTGTAAAAACGAGGTTGCATTTCTAGTAGCATTTGTTAATGATACATTTTCTAAATGTGTCTGCTGAAGAAAGAGGTAGAAACAATCCTATTTCAAATTTTATGCTCCCTTATTTATGAGTTCTAATAATTTTCCAGACTTTGCCATTGAACGGGTCTCTGAACCACCTCCAATGAATTTTCCATGAACGAATACTCTTGGCACAGTGTTGCCTCCAGTTATTTTTGCCAAATATTGCTGTATCTTTGCACCATCATCTATTTTGTCCAATTCTATCACCTTTGGTTTTACGCCAATGTCTGTAATATAAATTTCACATGAAAGAATGATTTCAAGTCAACCAATAATTACTCAGAGCTATGAACAGATTAGCTGACATTCTTTGTTCTAGTTCGCTATTAGACATTGACTATAACAATCACAATGTTCCTGAACGGTTATCCCATAACTTTTTAATAGGTTTTGAATACGCAATTTGATACTTTATATCAATTTGTGCAATATGGGTGTTCGAATAAAGACAATAGTTCATGACAGACAACCGATGGATTGGGTTTACCTACCCAGATTCTTCTGGTCATGTTTTAAGAAATACGGAGTTCGGCAATACTATAGCCCAATTTTGCTCATTATGATGCTGCAGTAAATTTAGTTCCAAATGAAAAAGCATTAGTGAAATAATGTTCGGCATACTTACAAGGATGGTAATCTGTAGGCCTATAAGTGCAGCTTGAAAACAATTAGGACAAGTTATCTAAATTATTAATCCTGAAGTATTCAGTATGCCCAGATATTAACTAGTTGAAAGCAAGAAGTTCATGATAACTACCATTGGAATAGGTAAACAATTCTCTGGCAAAAACATAACACCTGTAGTCTATGCACTGAAATCTTACTCTAGTTTGATGATACAAAAACCCCAAGTTAGTTAATGATATACATAAGAACAAACCTCGTGCTGTCATGGGCATTCAATTTTTTATTTGTTTCATCCACCATGACTGAAGTCACACAATAACATTCAAATTATTAAAAAAATGATATCGCTGACAACAATAATTTGCTATACCGTACATCTTGGCCAACTTCATAAAAATATGACTCACCTTTAAATGCAGTCTTTGCCATACCGGAATATCCACACCATGATTTGGAAAACACAACAACTGGATTATCCTTTATCTCCTTGTTGACAAATTGTTCGATTTTATCCATTTTGATGCTAAAATGCCAAACTTCGTTTGAGAGCTTTATGAACTACACTATACAATCAGACAATAGGCCTAATTTATTTTTATTATAGCAATATAGAGAGTGAAAATAAATCGAATGACAGATTTTACTAATTGCTCTAAAAATTCTGAAATTCGTGGTACAGTATTAGTACCACCATCAGATACAGCTAGTCTATACCGTACCGGTACCAAAGTCAGAAAGTGTCTATAGTCACTTTGGTCTATACCGTACTAGCTCTGCTGGTACCGGTGCCAATTCCAGTATTTAACTATGCAGAACAGTACTGTAATTATTTCCAGACTATTCTGCAATAGCGATTGATATTGAAAGTTTCAATGTGACAGAAAAATGTAGAATAAACTTATAGTACTAGAAACTTCTACAACACTTCACAGCATTCGCGGCTGACCCCATATTAGAAAATAAAGTTTTTCACCTCACCAAGTTTTTGCATGATATCATTTTCTATATTCTATCATTCAGCGCAGAGTGACGTCAATCAATGGTCTTGCCTCCGCGAATATACCGTTATGTCAAGTCATGGTGACTACAATTGATCGAGAAATCGTGACCTGAAAAGGCTTTAGCCAAGGCAGCAAGGGCCCGATTCAGTAACACGTCCGCAGGTTAAGTCAGGCGGTACCGGTATAGGCTCCGCCCTAATCTGCCAATCTTGGACCAGCGACAATGCTGTAACATTTATGCTTGGACTTTAGGGTGCTCAGCCGAGGGCGTTTGAAATTCCACGAGTCGAAGTTCATCTTCACACAACTTATGGTGTTATTCAGTAATCAGTCATGTGCCAGATTTTAGTTTATCATGCAGAAATATATTTATTCAAACCTGAAACCTAACCCCGAATCCATCAAAACTGTATCCATGAGGAAAATGTTCCAACTTATTCCAATATTACCGGCATTTTTCCATTGGTTTGTGGCAGCTAAAAAGTCAGTCGCCGTGGTTTGGTCATAGCGACCACCGCGGCGGTGTGGCTCAACGGGCTAAGCGTTAGGAATACGCTCGCCACCGCACCTATAATTACTCTGCTTGGGTTCGCAGGTCCGAATCCCATGCAGGGATGGTTATGTGCGAGAGGATTGCTGGACTCCTCGTTGGGTGGTTCACGTAACCGCTGGTCGGTTACGGCTTCCTCCACCACCAAGTCCATGCTTCCGAAAAACAAAACAATATAACTAATCCCATACCCGACTTGGAATGGTAACCGGACGAGAGGCCGTGGTTCGCCATATGGATAAGTCGTCTTATCGGCTTTCCTCCCCCCTCGGGATAAATATGTAAATCCTATCCTAATCCTATGGTTTGGAAATTCCGCCATGGTTTTGCGGCAGCTTCAGACGCCACAAAATACTTGAAACTGCACTTAAATTCCGCAGTCCAGTCCATGGGTTCCCAAACTTTTTGTTCGTGCGCCAAATTATCAGGGAAAAAACTCACGGCGCACTTACACGAAAAAAATGCTGCTTCTAAATGAAACACAATTTTGTGATCGTATTATGTACTTTATGATTTTTGAAGTTTGTAAACATGTAGGCCCAAGAAATAAAGGCAATATAGGTCGACACTTCTCCATCTCTGCCTGATTTTATTTCCTTTGAAATGCGAAAAAATAACTCATGTTCGCTAAACTCGGTTCAGCAGATAAATGAGCTGCAGCTCACGAAAATAATGGATTTAATGAAGCATATACACATCATTTAAAAGTACATTACATTATTAATATGATATATATACATAGTAATACATTCAAGGAAGAATCGGTCATCGTCCATTTTTTCCATAATCATCATCATTTATACCAGGGGTGGCCAACACGTCGATCGCGATCGACTGGTCGATCGTCACGTCTCGAGTAGTCGATCGCGTCTGATGTTGATTAAATTCAATACCATACCCCAAAAAACTGCCTTGAACCAGTTTCATGCAGCGCCTGTTGTGTGTTTTAAAACAAAATGAATGTTGCGATGTTCATGCGCAAAATACGATATACACGACCAGTATTTGAGTCTTGGCAAGTCCGATAGAACATTTTATTACGTAACAAATGAAAGTTTCGCCACTGCTAAAGTTTAGGAATGAACTTGCCGATTATCGGGTGTCTTGACTGACAAACGATTCTACAATAGCTTCTGCAGTATGCGAAAGTTATTGTCTCTCTCCAAGAGTTAGAGATACCAACCGTCCCGGAATGGCCGGGACAGTCCCGGAATTAATTGACCTCTAGCGTCCCGTGTCCCGGGATGGGCTACGGCTGTCCCGTAATTTAACGCCAACTAAGGTGTTCTAAAATAGATTGAGGCCATCGTAAGAGTGTCGGCTTTGTTCAAAATTCGAAACGGATGTAATACACGCAAATATATTTTTCAATAAAAACGATTATATATAGAGGACTTGCACGGGTCATGTGACCTTGTTTACTGGACGACGAACACCCCTAATCCCATCGCATCTGTAGCGATCATCATGCAGGTTGAAGGTTCTGCTGTAACTGAGTATTTCTGCCGCCCGAATTAGTCTTGTCCTCTCCCTCATTCGATAGTGAATTGGGATTTAGTTACGGCGAAATGTTGAGCTTTCATCTCAGCGCTTAGGTCTAACAGTCTTGCTTTCTATAATAAATTCTATATATTCTTCGGGGCGCGCTTCCTACATCAGCGATAGAGGACTTGCACGGGTCACGTGACTTTGTTTACTGGACGGCAAAAAAACAAAAACGTCAAGCTGGCTCCTGTCAGTTGCAAGTCGGATTATACGTTTTCCGTTTTGTTTGGCTGTTGAAAATGGTTATTTCGCATTGTTCCGCTGGCTGTACGTATAGTATAGACAACCAAATGGATCTTCAGTTATATTCCACTGTTTTCAAAAGATCCGGAACGTCGCGACTGCTTGGTGTCAAGTCCAGAAGCCATCTCACTTGTGTTTCACTGTTTGCGGACAGCACTTCGTTGATGGTGAGTCATAATGTGCCGTTACCAATTTATTTAAATATTCATAAGCTCCTTCATTTCAATGGAAAGCAGATGACAAACTACTGTTATTGGTGGGCCTAGGCGTTGGCCTACTTGCAGACTTGACTCGTGTAAGGTATTGATCAATAATTGCCATAAGGTATTGTTTCCCTAGTTAGCAGGTAATCTATTAGTAAGCGTGAAAACTTGAATAGATAACTAAAGTTTAACGCCAGTGCTAATGCAAAAAATAACCAGAATTTAATTGAATTCTCCATCCAAGAATACGCTCGCCACCGCATCTCTGATTCCCCTGGGAGTTTCACAGGTTCCAATCCCATGAGGGGATAGTTATGTGCGAGGGGATTGCAGCTCTCCTCCCACTGAGGGTGGTTCACACGACGCTGGTCGATTACGACATCCCCCACCATCAAGTCTATGCTTCTAAAACAAATAACTGGCTAACTAATCCCGACATAGAATGGTAATCGTACGATGTTGCACCTTGCAATCTGTCCCCAACCACAGATAAATTATATCCTAAAAACTACCCATTGGTAGGCATAGTTGTGTTTTAAATTGAAAGAAATCTTCATTAATTGTCAGAAGGTGTTGTCTGATTGTTTTGTTAGTTAGCAGGTAATTTATTACTGATCTGATACACAAACTTGGCACTGTCAAATGATGATTAGTGTTTAATTTATTTTCAGGAAAAAGGGAAGATAACCCATTATCAGCTGCTTATATGTCCCATCGATATTTGAATTGTCGCCATCCCCAGAGAGGAAGAGAATAGTTAGAAAAAGGGGGATTTTGAAGAAAGGCAGGACCATTTCAACAAATTCTGTTAACTTGTATGCGTTGCAATATTAATATGCAGTTGTTAGCATAAACATTTAATGTGTCTTTCGACTAGACCTACCACACTTTAAAAAAAGTCGCCTACACCCCTTTCCACTAGAACAGGGGTCGGGAACCTTTTAGGTCAAGAGAGCCATAAAAGGTACATATTTTCAATTGCATTTCCGTGCGAGCCATATAGCATTTCAGGCCTGAAATTTTTAGTCAAAAGTCAACAAATACAATGTCAATATACATTTACAGCATGTTGTCGCTGCGGGTCTCGAACAGCTGCTAACAACATGCAGCACAAGTTGAAATCTACGATATTCACCAACACTTCTTTCGTTTAGGCATCTCTGTAGTATTTTGAAAACTAGCCTTGCTAGTCCGATTCAAATATGACAAATACTGTAACGAGAATATCGGTCAGAGACCGAAGACTTATCGATCGAAGATTAGGGGATCCCCAAAACAGCGTTCTTACTCCATAGTGACACCGTGTGTCCCATCACTAATTAATTAATAACTCGCTAATTATACAACATAATTCATCGAAAATCAATAGGCTTCTGATTCGAGCTATGATGAATGTACATGCAGAATTTAAAGCAGATTCATTCTCATCGCTTTCGTGAGATATCGCGTGCATCTAACAGACAGACAAACAGACAAATACCATACTTACCGATCTTAAGATCGATAAGTAAAGTAACTAGTACGTACAAGCGGACTAAAAGCTTTATTTATTGCTCCGAGACTCTAACATGTTCCAGGAGTCCCCTAGTTTTGTCACAATTCTTGTCTGGTAATTCTCCTGGGTAACTTAGACATGCGCTGGGCGCGAGTTCCCAAACGTATTAGCAAATTTTTTGCCAAATTTGGCTATAAAAGAGTTTGAGAACTCGTAAAAATAGTAAGCTTAGCCTTACAATATTAGATTTTTCTGGGAGCCATATGCCGTCACCAAAAGAGCCATATATGGCTCGCGAGCCATGGGTTCCCGACTCCTGCACTAGAACCATAATACTGTAAAATATTTGATAGAAATTACCCCCGAGGCATCATATCTTCCATTTGAATAGGCTGTGGAGGCAGATACATTTTTTACTCTAAATTATGGAATGTTACTTCCAGGTTATTCTATCCTTGCTTATAGATATCTTGAGGTTAGTGACTCCAACTGACCCATGCATGCCACACTGAAAATACTCTTGTGTACCCATAAAATAAGGCTGTTGGAGCCTTCAGACATTGAAACGGGTCGAATCTGAGGACGATGGATTTATGTGAAACACGTAATATGCATTTAGAGGCAAAAATATCCCATCCTGAGCAGCACCGATCCACAACCTCCTGCCTATGGAATCAAAACATTAGACAATTGGTGTACTGTGCGCATTCACAAATCTTTGCGAATCAAGTGTGCCTTTTGACTAAAGAAAATTTGGCATTAAAATGGTCAATCTCAATATCAACCTAGTATCTGCAGATAAAACCAATTGTTTTTTAAAAACACATTTTTGATGTGCTTTGTTTTTCAAATATAATTCATAATTACTGTAAAGTGTGTGATACATTTGGTACCATGAATACCATTTGCAAATTAGCTTGGGTTACACCCCTCTCAAATAAAAGTTTAGACTCTGAAGTCATATCTCATAATATTCTTTAAACAAAAGGTTGCGGCTAGCCGGCTACCCATCAGAATTTCCTTTCAGATCACAAAGTCGCAATATTACGCCTCGCTAAGTTTCATTGGCAACTATATCTGGTTGTAGTATCTGTGTCCAACGTTAGAATGAAACCTTCACTACCAGACCCACCGAAACAAGTTTTTTACTTGATAGGGTCGTCTTGAAGTTGCTTTCGTTAAAAGCACAATGGACAC